CAGCAGCTCCCTCCTGCCTGCCCAGCCTCCAAAAACCTCCAAACACTTCTGTTCGCGGGGGTTGAATTTTAGGTATTGGGGGTTATTTGGAAAGTGAGTCAAACCCATTGCCCAACAGTTTATCTGAAGAGCGTTTCCAATGAAGCTGAAAGCTTTTGCCAGAGGAAGTGCGAATTTCGGCGTAATTTGTCCTATCAGCAATTAGCAAGTATTGCACCACTCTCGCCACCGCTGGTCTTTGCTTTTCTCCAGCCACTCAGCAGCTCTGTCTTGGCTCCCCATCCCTTTTTTCCCTTTGTTTCCAGGCTTATTAAATTTGGGAACCACTTGCAGTCTGCAAGATCTGGGCTGACACCCGAGAACACCCGCCGGCATCAGGAAACCTGAGCGCTCCCCGGCCGCCCGGGCATTTCTTGCATGGTGAATTGCATTTCGTTACATGTGCAAAACTGCTTTGCTTTCCTCGCTCGTGGGCTTGGGGCAGTCCCACCAGGTAGGAGGTTTGACCTGGGAGAAGCTGCCGTTTTCCTGAGCATCAAGGGTGGGATGTGCAGAAGCAGCCGGGTTAGGACCGGTGCTGCCTCCGGCTTGCTGGGATGAAGCTGCGTTTCCCGGTGGAGCCCTTGGCCCGCGGCCGTTTTCCTGGTGCGTGTGGAGTTCACGGACCTGCCACATCCTTTGGGATACACCGGGCCCCGTCTCTTGCTTCCCTCTCGCTGCCCGGGGCTGCCTCCCCTGCCTTGCCGCCAGCCCCACGGTCCCCTGCTCTTTCCTCCCTGCTTCCCGTTGCCTTATTCCTCAGAGGGCCAACTATCCCAAGCAGAGCCGCCGGGGTAAGCGGATCCGCCGCCCGGGACCAGCTCAGGCTGCGCTTGGAGCGCACAGACACTTCCCGGGGCCGGTGGAGAGGTGCGGATAGCGGGAAGGCTCCGAGCAAGGGGCAGCCCCGCGCGGAAGGAATTGCTCGGATGCGGCGGGAGCCGCGTTTGGCTCCCGCCGAGCTGGGTTTCCCCGTGAGGCGACGTGCCGCACGCGGCAGAGCGGGAATTGCACCAGGTGGTGTGTTCTGGAGCCCGGTTATGGGACAGGATCCCTTCTCCCAGCCTTGAGGTGAGGCTGGGGAGCATCCGCGGTGCCCGGTGGGATGGGAACGGGGCATCCGAGGAGATGCGGGGACTTGGGAACAGGCCCATGGGGATGGGGAGAAGCAGATGGAAAATCAATGGTCGGGACATGGAGGAGCGGGCTGAGGAAGAGGGGGAAAAGCGAAGGGGAAGGGGAAGGATGGTGCGGGGAGCGGGAGGGTTGAGGCACCCGACTCACCCGTAAACATCGGCGGCGATGCGGGTGCCCAGCACGCACAGGGCCTCGATGCGGCTCCCCGCCTGCAGGCGCAGCGTGCGCTCCCGCGGCATCGTGCAGCCCCGACGCCAGCACCATGGGCACCTGCGCCCAGGGCAGCCCCGGCCCGGGCTCCTCCTCCCTCCCGCCTTCGTCCCTCCTCCTCCTCCTCCTCCTCCACTGGACTCACAGAGAGTCAATCACCCTTCCCCGAGGCGGGGTTGGGGGGGATGCGTTTGGCACGGCTCCTTTGCAACCCCTTGTGCCCCCCATGGCCCAGGGAGAGAGGCCGCTTGGGTCGGACCCTCCGGAGTGCCATGAAAATGATCTCGGCAGGGAGGGATGGAGAGGGGAAGTGGCTGGCCCGGAGCCCGGCCGCCTCGGAGCGCTTGGCGAGGAGCTCCCCCAGCTGTCCCGAGCATCCCGGCCCCGGGATCGCCACGGCCCTCCCTCCTTGTCCACTGAAAAGCTCTAGCTGCTCTTTGGGAGAAGAGCCCAATTTCCAAGCCTCGGCTCCCGGGAACAGCAATCAGCGCTGGCAACAAGCGCTGCCCGTGTCCGAGCTGGTGGCACTGACAGATACGGAGTTAACCATTCATTTTAACGCTCCAGATTCTCCCCCAGACTTTGGAATAACCTGCCATGAGCCAGGAAAAAGCAGGAACAAGGAAATGTTTGCTTTAACTCCCCTATTTTTGCTCCTTTTAGGTTTTTGGGGCCGCGCTTTGAGCAAACAAGGGTGCAGCTGAGTCTTTGCATGAGCAAAGTTCGCCTCGCGACCTGGGGCCCTTTCCCCGCTCCCCTGCATGCACTGAGTAAGTGTTTTTGTCAAGAAATCAGTTTTCTTAAAGGCTGCAGGCGTTATCCCCAGCAAGGGCGAGCAGGAGGCACCAACCAGAGGACGTCGCCGTGCGGCAGGGCCCCGCTCCGGGCTCGGCGCCGCCACTCCGGCCACCGTGGGACGATCCCGGCCGAGCGTCGCGCGTTGGCCCTGGTCTGGTTAAGCCCCCAGTGAATGACAAAGCAGGAAGGAGGAACATAAGATTAAAAATTTGAAAAAACAAACCTGATCCCTGCAGTTTGTACAAGCTGCCTCTTTGCAATGGGGCTTTGCATCATGCAAGATTCACCATGCCTTTTTTTTCCCATTTTTTTGCTCCAAAAGCACAGCCAGCAGTGGGTATATCCCTCGTCCCATGCCTGCCAGCCGGGCACCCATATGCGAGTGGACACAGAGGTGCCCAAGGGACGGTTTGGATGGAGCAGAGCAGAGAAAGCAGCTTCTTGGTGGCCACTCTCACTTCCCAATTCCTCCTCCTGGCCTTGGAGCGTCCAAGTCACCACCGAGGAAGCCGAATGCTATTTTAAATCCGCCTTTGCCTTAAAAAGAAACTCAAAAAAACCCATCTTCCAGCAAGACCCCACCGTCACTGGGGAATTTTAAATGCAGTGCAGAAGTCCTTTTGGGGTGCTGCAGAAACCACTGCTTCTTGTCCAAATCAGACCCAACGCACCCGAGCTGCATCCTAACGGCCACAATCATCCACTGGCTGCTGCTATCACCGCGATTTGGGGCTTTTTAGTTATGCTATTACCTAACTCAGCTTATCTTCACTTCGGCTTTGGGCAACTGCGGCCTCTCCCCCCTTGCCATTTGCAGCAAGGGATTCACAAGCCGGGCAGGACAGACCCCATGGGAGGCCGTCACCCCGAGTGTGGGGCTGAGAGCTGGAAAAATAACCCTGAGTGACCCCCAAGCCAAAGAGGACGGAGCTTGTGGCCGTCCCCGCTGCATCCTCTTTGCCTCTGGGCTTGGGTTTCGGGGGGCCCCCGCAGGGATTGGGGTGGTGGGGGCGGCACTGCTGCCCGGTCCCACTAGATGTCACCTGCATCCTGCCCCGTGGTGGCCCCGATGTCCCCCCTTCGCTGTCTCCAGAGCTTGAATTTGTGAGGAAAGAAAGTCGAATTTTGGGGCAAAAAGAGAGCAGGATGAGAGGGGGCTGCCGGGTCACAGGAGCTGTAGCCAGAGCCAATTTCCGCGCTGGGCTGGAGGGGACATTCTCCTTACGCAACCCCCCTTCCTCCTCCTCCTCCTCCTGCAGCCGCGGTTTGGCACGGCCTTTGCCGCGTGCTATCAGGTGGATCACACGTGGTTAACGTATGTATACACACAATATATATGCGTGCATATCTGCAGATGACTGGAGGCTGGTGGTTTCGCAGCTACAGTCGGTCTGGTCAGAGG